CTGTTATGTTTGAAAGTCCTCGATTTGTGCGGTTTCTAATATTGGCGGAATTATAAAGTATTCAAAGTGGTTGTCTTTTCCACTTTTATTATTGAAAGATTTATTGAGATGTGGAAAAGTAAGACGTTTCCAGGGGAATCGAATGAGTGTAAAGTAGGTTTTTAGATCCTTTAGGGTGGGTTTGAAAACTATGTATGTATATATAGAGTATAGATATAAGAGGAGGGTTGTTTTTTTTGTGAGCAAAGACTACTACCCTCCTACATTCGTATTCCGGTCTATGTGGCTGAGATTATTGCGTTGGTCGACTCTTCTCTTCACCCTATTCCGCGAATCGATATCGAGGATTATTGGCTGAAGGCAGATTACAATAAGCCCGATAATCACGTAACCTCGTAACCACCTAATCAGGTTTAACCATTTATCTTGATGCGTAACAATTTTTCTCCACGTACAATCAAATTTGCATACGTTGTGTATGGATGTGCGTGCAAATTTGTCGAAATCTTAATTAATCATTCGAATGACAGGCAACAGATGGCGCAGCGCGACAAATTAACGATCAAACCGCACGTTACGTTTCCGTCTCATTGCAAATATTGAATGTACATGCATATTCCAATGTGGTTCATTACAATGCGGCAGCTGGAATTCAATTTACTTAAGCTGTATCATGTTAACTATTGAGTTTGAAACGTCAAATTTGCAATTTATAAACCTAAAACCCTAAAAAAAACCCTAAAAAACTCAATGATTAAATTGTCAATTTTGCATATTTTATTATATTTTTAATACCAAAACATCTAAAATAAAGCTTAGATTCATAGTAAAATATTGTTAAAATAGCTGTAAATTTGTTTTCCATAGAAACAACCCCAATATATTGAACGGTACATATTAATGTATGTAATTTGCTTCGAATATAAATATTTTTGTCATTAAAATCTATATGTAAAGCAAGTTTTGCTATAATTGACGTTTTAAACGTCATATGTAAAATGTTTTTTAAATAATAGTAAATATGTTTTCGATATAAACTAAATACAAAAATAAATAAATAATATTTGTTTCAAATTTGAACATTTTTCTTATTAAAATCTACATTAAAAAAACGTGAAATTTGAAATTAATATTTTTTTATTTCAAATCACCAAGAACGAAGTATTGATTTAAATAGCAACTGTAAAATTGAAGTTTAAAACGTCAAATGTGCAATTATATATTTTTTTAAACCAAAATACCAAGAACTAAACAAACCAGTAAAGTGATGTTTTAAATAGTAGTGAATATGGTTTTGATGTTACTATCAAAACCATATTTAACCCGTAATAAACTAAACAATAAAAAATTATATCAAATAAGCTTCAAATTTTAAAATTTTCCTTATTAAAATCAATATTAAAATAGAAACTACAAAAAATGACGTTATAAACGTCAAATTTGCAATTATTATTTATTAATATCAAATTACCAAGTAAAGTGATGTTTTAAATAGTAGTGAATATGGTTTTGACAATTTTGAAAATGTTCCTTATTAAAAGGAAAATTACATAAATGACATTTTAAACGTCAAATTTGCAATTATTATTTATTAATATCAAATCACCAAAAACGACGTAAATCATTATAAAATATTGATATCAATAGCAACTATAAAATTGACGTTCAAAACGTCATATGTGCAATTGTAATTTTTAATACCAAAACAACAAGAACTAAATAAACCAATAAAGTGATGTTTTAAATAGGTTTTAAATATGGTTTTGATAGAAACAACCCCTAATACACTAAACAATAAAAAAATATATCAAATAAGATTCAAATTTTAAAATTTTCCTTATTAAAATCCATATTAAAATAGAAACTACAAAAATGACGTTTTAAACGTCAAATTTGCAATTATTATTTATTAATATCAAATTACCAAGAATGACGCAAATCATTATAAAGTATTGATTTAAATAGCAACTGTAAAATTGACATTTAAAACGTCAAATGTGCAATTGTAATTTTTAATACCAAAACACCAAGAACTAAATAAACCAGTAAAGTGATGTTTTAAATAGTACTGAATATGGTTTTGATAGAAACAACCCCTAATAAACTAAGCAATAAAAAATTATATCAAATAAGCTTCAAATTTGAAAAGTTTCCTTATTAAAATCAATATTAAAATAGAAACTACAAAAATGACGTTTTAAACGTCAAATTTGTAATTATTATTTATTAATATCAAATCACCAAGAACGACGTAAATCATTATTAAGTATTGATTTAAATAGCAACTATACAATTGACGTTTAAAACGTCAAATGTGCAATTGTAATTTTTAATACCAAAATACCAAGAACTATATAAACCAGTAAAGTGTTGTTTTAAATAGTAGTGAATATGGTTTTGATAGAAACAACCTCTAATAAACTAAGAGCAATACAAAATTATATCAAATAAGCTTCAAATTTGAAAATTTTCCTTATTAAAATCTATCTTAAAATAGAAACTACAAAAATGACGTTTTAAACGTCAAATTTGCAATTATTATTTATTAATATGAAATCACCAAAAACTACCTAAATCATTATAAATTATTGATTTAAATAGTAACTGTAAAATTGACGTTTTAAACGTCAAATTTGCACTTTATTTATTTCCTATCTAATTTCTTTAAAATGTTAATAGTTTCTTTTGAAATTGTGTAAAAACATGCATAAATGTATTAAATAATATTTCGTAATTCCAACATTAACATGAAATTAAACATGTTTTTTCTTTAAATAATTATAAATAATCCTCGAAACATTCAACATGAGAACGTACAGAAAAAAATTACAGCGAGAAACATTTCCAATAATGAGTCGTGTGTTGGGATGCTCGCAATTACCGGAGTCGTAAAGTATTCCTTTTGATGGTTTGATTTCCATGCTGAATGGAGGAGATGTTTCAGAGAACAGAGCACGTTTTATCTGAAATTTAAATCTCGTCCGAGCCGCACGATAAATACACGCATTAATATTTCACATTTTGTTGCTTCTCTTCCTTTTTTTGCAGGATAAAAGAGAGAGAGAGAAAAAAAAAGAAACGAAATCCCACATTTGAAATAGGTACATTGACATGGGATGAAAATCAAACAAAAAAAGAGGGCATAACAAATGGCCTCTTTCATTCATCATTCGCATAATGCGGAGCATAAACATTGAGTATTTATTGTATGTCATGAGCGACTGCTGATGTGTTGTGCAAATGCATTCCTATTTACGTATAAAAGTAACTTTTCTGTTTGTGCAAATTGGTGCTCGAAAATTGTAAATCTATTTGTTAATATTGACTAATAATTATAATAATTTATAAATTTATAATATTAAATAATTACGGTATAAAAAAATCGTCTACATTTTTTTCATAATTATGGCTGTAATTCGCGATCAAAGTTGAAAAAATGAAAAATTATCGCTCGAAAAATCAGTGTTTACAAAATTTTTGTAATTTTCTTGGAAACTATAGATATAGTATCTAAAAGATGTGTGGATTTCTGAGAAATGTAGCATGTCTTCACATATTTCTGTGGCTTTATACATTTGGCTGTACTTCGCGTTCAAATTAGAAAAAACTGAAAATTGAACACTCAAAAAATCAGTGTTTTCTCATTTTAATGATTTTCTCTAAAATTATAATAGATTTAACATATCCCAAAGATGCGTATGAAAGCTGGATGCTTGGAGAATTGTAGCATGTATTCATACATTACTGTGGCTTCATCCATTTGGCTGTAATTTGCGTTCAAATGAGAAAAAATGAAAAATTATCGCTCGAAAAATCAGTGTTTTAAAAATTTTTGTAATTTTCTTGGAAACTATAAATATAGTATCTAAAATATGTGTGGATTTCTGAGAAATGTAGCATGTCTTTACATATTTCTGTGGCTTTATACATTTGGCTGTAATTCGCGTTCAAATTAGAAAAACTGAAAAATTAACGTTCACATTTTAGTGATTTTCTCGGAAATTATAATAGATTAATTGGATTCAAAAGATGCTTATGAAAGTTGCATGTTTGAGGATTGTAGCGAATATTGATATATTCCTGTAATTTCATCCATTTGGCTGTAATTCATGTTGAATTGCGATTTTTTTACTTTTTTTTCACGTTTTATTTAATTATTTAATAGTTGCTGTGGATAATTAAAACATCAAATACAAAAACAAAAAACACGGCGAAGAATCTATTTCCAAATTCGTGTCATTTCTTTTTTTCTTGTAATTAGCTTTAAGTTTTTTTAGCAATTTCTCGAAAACAATTGACCATTTTTTTTACATAATAACTCAATTACTTAAAACATCTTATACATTTTACTTGTTTATATCAGAAACGATTTTTCATTGCACATCATTTGATATAATAACTGTTAAGTAATTGTAATTAATGACTAAGATATGTTGATTTTATTCACATTTTCTCTTAATTTTTTATATAATTATTTGAGTATTTAATTTTCATTTAATTTAAGTAAATTAAAAGTACCAAAACGTAAGCGTAAACTAATATTCTTTAATAATTAGAACATCAACTATACAAATAAAAAACAAAACTTTTACTTTTTACAGAATATTTTTCCAAATTGATGGCATTTTTCTTGTAAATAGCTTTAAAAAAAAATTGCAATTTCTTGAAAACAATTGTCCAATTTCTTTTATTAAGTAATTGAAATTAATGACTAAGATATGTTGATTTTTCTTTTAATTTGATCTAAATTTGAGTGTAAATATTTAATTGTATCAAAAAAAATCAAAAAAAAGTAAGCGCAAACTAATATTACGTTATCATTATATAACTCCAAATATATTAACATGCAAAGTCCTGAGAAAAGATCAAACGAAAATTGGGCGGCAATTTCGCATACGAACATTCTCCACCATCCACTTAACTTCTTCAATCCTGAAAATAAGCTGAAACGTTTTTCACTTTCCATTTATTTGTTTGTTTTTTTTTCTTTGTCTCAGGTATTCGACTGCCGTTACGTGACGACAACAAGTGGCATGTTCGAAGCTCTGTGCAACCACATCAAGTACAGCACCAACAAGGGAAACATCAGGTATGCAAAAGGTCGCAACGATCATCATCCAAATATATATACAATTTTTTTTTATTATAAATTTCCACCAACCCTCGCCGAACTTAAACGATCTTCGCACGCAAAACTTTTACTTAAAATCCCCCCAAATCCTCCACCATCGATTTACCATCTCCTTTACCTAAATTCTCCCACTTGAAAAAAACGCTTGTATTGTATCTATTGAATTGGTTTCTCAAGCCCAATTTATCGATGCAACTTGTTTCCCTGTTTATCCCGCTAACTTTTCACCCTCGTCTTCAAAATCGAATCGATCTTTTAACTGTTTTTTAACTGTAACTCTGTATATTTATTTCTTATCCTTTTTTCTGCATATTTGTTTAGATCCGCTATAACAATATTTCCTCAACGGACGGATGGTAAACACGATTACCGCGTTTGGAATCCGCAGTTAATAAATTATGCAGGATACAAACAGGCCGACGGTTCTGTTATTGGGGATCCTCAGAACGTGGAATTTACAGGTAAATATTGTCGTTAATAAGGATATTCGTTAATACAAACTTTTTTTATCCTAATGCTTCGCTCCTCCAACGCAACAACTTGTCATCAATATTATCTTTAATATTCTTAAAGTTTGCTTTAAAATCATCTTACACTGCATCCACAGCATGTGTGATAAAAATGTGACACATCCAACTGGAATTGGTTGTCATTATGTCATAATGATAAATAAATTTACAGCTGCAATTTCATATTTTGCTGTTATTTACAACTGTCAATTCATATCATAAAGATATGACACATCCAAATATAAATGCTTGTCATTAAGTCATAATGACAACTAAACTGACAGCTGCAATTTCAAACTTTTCTGTCATTTGTACCTGTCAATCAGGTTTTATTTTAAGAATTTAAAATTATACAGCGTGAGGAAAAATGTCACACATCCAATAACAATTAGTTGTCATTAAGTCACAATTACAACTAAATTGACAGCATAAATTTCATATTTTGCTGTCATTTGTATCTGTCAATCACGTCTCATTTGAAATTTATTTACATTGAATTCACACCATGCGTGAAAAGAATGTCAAAGATTTAACTAAGATTTGCTGTCATTAAGTCATAACGACAACTAAATTGACACTTGCAATTTAATACATTTTGTCATAATGATAACTAAATTGACAGCTGCAATTTCATATTTTTCTGTCAGTTATAACTGTCAATTCAGATCATAAAAATGTGAGACATCCAACTATAATTGCTTGTCATTAAGTCATAATGACAACTAAACTGACAGCTACAATTTCAAACTTTGCTGACATTTATACCTGACAATCACGTTTTACTTTAGGTAATGAAAATTTACTTTTCACGCACGATAAAAATGTAATAAAACCAAATATAATTGGTTTTCATTGGGTCACAATGACAATTATACTGACAGCTGCAATTTTAAACTTTTCTGTCATTTGTACCTGTCAATCAGGTTTCATTTTAAGAATTTAAAATTATACAGCTTTAGTTAATTCGTGATTAAAATGTCACACATCCAATTATAATTAGTTGTCATTAAGTCACAATTACAACTAAACTGACAGCTGCAATTTCTTATTTTGCTGTCATCTGTATCTGTCAATCACGTCTCATTTGAGATTTATTTACATTGAATCCACACCATACGTGAAAAGAATGTCAAAGATTTTACTAAGATTTGCTGTCATTAAGTCATAATGACAACTAAATTGACACTTGCAATAAACTTAAAATTTTCTTACTATAAACTTTTCTTACGAGCATCAATATTATCTTTAATATACTTAAAGTTCACTTTAAAATCATCTTACACTGCAGCCACATCATTTGTGATAAAAATGTGACACATCCAACTAGAATTGGTTGTCATTAAGTCATAATGACAACTAAACTGACAGCTGCAATTTCATATTTTGCTGTCAGTTATAACTGTCAATTCATATCATAAAAATGTGAGACATCCAACTATAATTGCTTGTCATTAAGTCATAATGACAACTAAACTGACAGCTGCAATTTCAAACTTTGCTGTCATTTGTATCTGACATTCACGTTTTATTTTAGGTACTGAAAATTTACTTTTCACGCGTGATAAAAATGTAGTTTTCATTGAGTCATAATGACAACTAAACTGACAGCTGCAATTTCAAACTTTTCTGTCATTTGTACCTGTCAATCAGGTTTCATTTTAAGAATTTAAAATTATACAGCGTGAGGTAATTTGTGATTAAAATGTCACACATCCAATAATAATTAGTTGTTATTAAGTCACAATTACAACTAAACTGACATCAGCAATTTCATATTTTTCTGTCATTTGTATCTGTCAATCACGTCTCATTTGAGATTTATTTAAATTAGATCCACACCATGCGTGATAAGAATGTCTAAGATTTAACTAAGTTTTGTTGTCATTAAGTCATAATGACAACTAAATTGACACTTGCAATTTAATACTTTGTTGTCACTTCTACCTGTCATTCACTTTTTATTTTAAGTATTTAAAATTTACAAACACACCATTCGTTATAAAAATGTGTCACATCCAACTACAATTAGTTGACACTTACTACACCTAAATTGACAGCTATAATTTCATACATTGCTGTCATTTGTACTTTTTTTCTATAAATAAGCTGTCAATTGTACCTGTCAATCATGTGTCATTATAAGTATAGTATCCATGCGAGATTATAATAACCTTAAATATTAGATAATGTACGGGAATATCATGTTATAAATTATATAACACTTCTTTAGTTAATTCGGCATATATATATTTATTAGCTAATACCACACTTGTCAATTAATTTACTATTAACTTAAAATTTTCTTACTATAAACTTTTCTTACGAGCATCAATATTATCTTTAATATACTTAAAGTTCACTTTAAAACCATCTTACACTGCAGCCACAGCATGTGTGATAAAAATGTGACACATCCAACTAGAATTGTTTGTCATTAAGTCATAATGACAACTAAACTGACAGCTGCAAATTCATATTTTGCTGTCAGTTTTAACTGTCAATTCATATCATAAAAATGTGAGACATCCAACTATAATTGCTTGTCATTAAGTCATAATGACAACTAAACTGACAGCTGCAATTTCATATTTTGCTGTCAGTTATAACTGTCAATTCACATCATAAGAATGTCAGACATCCAACTATAATTGCTTGTCATTAAGTCATAATGACAACTAAACTGACAGCTGCAATTGCAAACTTTGCTGTCATTTGTATCTGACATTCACGTTTTATTTTAGGTACTGAAAATTTACTTTTCACGCATGATAAAAATATGATTAGTTTTCATTGAGTCATAATGACAACTAAACTGACAGCAGCAATTTCATATTTTTCTGTCATTTGTACCTGTCAATCAGGTTTCATTTTAAGAATTTAAAATTATACAGCGTGAGGTAAAATATCACACATCCAATAACAATTAGTTGTCATTAAGTCACAATTACAACTAAATTGACAGCAGAAATTTCATATTTTGCTGTCATTTGTATCTGTCAATCACGTCTCATTTGAGATTTATTTAAATTAGATCCACACCATGCGTGATAAGAATGTCAAAGAATTAACTAAGATTTGCTGTCATTAAGTCATAACGACAACTAAATTGACACTTGCAATTTAATACATTATGTCATAATGATAACTAAACTGACAGCTTAATCAGGTTTCATTTTAAGAATTTAAAATTATACAGCGTGAGGTAAAATGTCACATATCCAATAACAATTAGTTGTCATTAAGTCACAATTACAACTAAATTGACAGCATTTGCTGTCATTAAGTCATAATAACAAAAAACTGACAGCTGCAATTTTATATTTTGCTGTCAGTTATAACTGTCAATTCACATCATAAGAATGTGAGACATCCAACTATAATTGCTTATCATTAAGTCATAATGACAACTAAACTGACAGCTACAATTTCAAACTTTTCTGTCATTTGTACCTGTCAATCAGGTTTCATTTTAAGAATTTAAAATTATACAGCGTGAGGTAAAATATCACACATCCAATAACAATTAGTTGTCATTAAGTCACAATTACAACTAAACTGACAGCAGCAATTTCATATTTTTCTGTCATTTGTATGTGTCAATCACGTCTCATTTGAGATTTATTTAAATTAGATCCACACCATGCGTGATAAGAATGTCAAAGATTTAACTAAGATTTGCTGTCATTAAGTCATAATGACAACTAAATTGACACTTGCAATTTAATACTTTGCTGTCACTTTTACCTGTCATTCACGTTTTATTTCAATTACAATTAGTTGACATTTATGACACCTAAATTGACAGCTATAATTTCATACATTGCATGTGTCATTACAAGTATAGTATCCATGCGATATTATAATAACCGTAAATATTACATAATGTACAGGTATATTATGTTATAAATTATATAACACTTCTTTAGTTAATTCGGCATGTATATATTTGTTAGCTAATACCACACTTGTCAATTAATTTACTATAAACTTAAAATTAATTTTCTTTTATTCTTTTTAATTACTTTTTTCGTTTTTATTTCAACGACGTGCGATATGTAACGACGTGAAAAAAAATCCTATTCGCTTTTTTTCCAATCTCTACAGCTCGTTGTAGGCGACTCGATGATAGCACGAAAATGCTAGTAGGCTTAAGGGGTTGACGAGAAAATCTGAAAAAAAATAGAGAAAAAACGTCGTTTCTCTGTTACGTAAAAAAAACATTACGTAACTTTTGTTGCATAAGGGTGGCGCCCATCTTACGCAATCATGAAATGCAACAAAAGTTACGTAATTTTCGTGCAATTAAGAAAAAGCTTGAAAAACTGTATATTTTTTATTTTCTCTTGGAAATATTATTTTCATATAATTATTTTATCTGTTATTCAAAAACTAAGATAAATCTTGCAATCTCTTAATTCGTGTTCTCTTTAGAAGTTATATAATTGGTGGGTTTCAATAGCCGCAGGTTAATCAGTTGAAATTTATTGGATAACTTTGGGTTAACCATTAACTGGAAGTTATTTATTACGAAAGATTAGCTCTTAAAAATGAAAAAAAAAATAATAAAAATTTGAAAAATAAAATATAATAATGTTATATCATATCTTCTATTACAACTATAATTATAATTAATCTACTAAAAAAGATATATTTTATTGAAATTAAATAAATTAAGTAATAGTTAAACAAATGTTTCTTAAATATAAAAAAAAATGTTGAAAATTCAATGATTTTAATCAAATTTTGAAGTATTGTAATAATAATTAATCAGAAATAATTAATGTTAAAATTTGTATATGTATATTACTTAAAATTTATAAATTCAATACAAACTGAATAAAACTGTTGCAATGTTTGTGTTAAATCAATGCTTTAAGAGTAGAATAAAGAAACTTTATTAATAATATGTTTACGTTTTGCAACAAAGTCCTCGGAAAGTTTCGAGACGAATC